GGTGCTGTCATTTCAGCAAGCTCATTGTTTTGCAGAGAATGTCTCTGCACATCACCCTGGCTCTCAGCAAACAGTCCAACTAGTGAACGCTGTTGGATCCCCACGCAGGCAGGAGGGCCCAGGGAAGGTGTGCAAAATATTTAGAGAAATAAAATCACTCCCTCAAACACAACCTTGTGGTAGACACGTGGGTGCAGCAAGAGAAACCTTGTAGCATGATCATAAGCAACGTCTATGCTCAGTTTCCCTATTCGAATAAGGAGAGCGTTGGCATTGAAAGTAGGGATCTGAGTGCTAGCTAATGCTTGCAAGAGATTGAGATTCTCATGCAAGGGACACTCAAAAAGACCAGGGTACTCTTAATGTTTTATTTATGAAATACCAGTGAAATTGATTAAGCCTTCCCTATCATCGTGATGTCTTCGTTTCAAAGAGGCTGCTGGTGGACCTGGAGGAAAGGCAGAAGAAGCGATTGCAGGTCCCAGGTACCACTTCTTGGAGCCTCCCTGCCGCAGTGCGGGTGAAATGGCTCAGTCTGGTGGGCTGATAATTGTGAAACAAACCCCCTGCCTGGGAGCAGCGTATCAATATCTCTGTGAGGGCAGGGTCAGCAGCATGGCTAGATTTTCCTCTGAATGTGTTTTCTCTTGGAGGCTTTACAACAGGATCTGCCTCTCTGTTCTTTCTCATCTGGGTTGTGAATTTGTCTTCAATGGCGAACTCTGCTCTCAGGGTCAGGGGCAGTGCAGCTCCTAGGAGGAAATACCAGCCCAGCAAAAGTGCTAGGACGTGGGGGGATTTGTACCTGCCACTCCACGCTCAAATCTCATCCAAGTCTGTGTTTTGTCAGTTGTATCCACCCTCAGAAACACTTTATCCTCATCTAGGAAGTACCCAGACATGCCACAGAATGAGCAGCACCTGGAGTGGCAGCGGGTGCAGCTCCTGCGCTCTGTGGAGATGCCCCTGGTTTATCATCAGCTGTGAGGCTGATCTGAGTGATAGCACAAGCATGACCGATCTGCTCATCTGACCTCATGCAAGCCTTAGTTAAATGTTGGCAGCCTGAGCAGCATAAAAGCACCTGAACAGTCTGGTTACTGCTTTCTCCTCAGACTAATCGTTGCATGTGTGTGATTTTGTCTAGATACCAAACTTGGCCCCGAAGCTTTTCGCTTTGATGCTGGAACTGAAGCCATGGCAACCAGACTCAGCGAGCGCTACTACATCCTACGTCCAGAAGTGGTAGAAAGCTACATGTACATGTGGCGGCTGACACACGATCCCAAGTACAGGCAGTGGGGCTGGGAGGTGGTGAAGGTATGGTTGGAAAATTCGCAGTAATAACTCTTACAGGCTGCTGAATTCTTACAAAAATCTTTCCTTCGGTCAGTAAAAAGAGCAGAAATAATTTAAATTGTGTTAGACACTAAGGCGCGTTAGCAATGGAGTGGGAATACACAAAATAGTCTAATTTAGTGTGGTGTCTCTGTTTGACCATTGGGAATGTTTTCTTCTCCCTTTTGGGCTACGATGAAGTCAATCAGTCAGTCAAAACAGTGGAGGTGTATGGAGAGGAGTGCTGCAGACAGCGAAACCAGCTATTAATGTAACAGCCCTCTGCAAAAAGGAGTCAGCCTGCTATCTGCAATATCTGGACTCAGAACCACTGGTTCGTAGCTGGCCAGGGAAAATCAGCAAACCTGCCTTTGCCCTTTGTTTTGTCTGCTTCCCACAGAGATCTGCCAGCCAGAAAGTCCCTCACCTCTTTCTAGCTCATGCAGTAGCTGGTTGGCTGCTACCGCACATCCTAGCAGGGGCTGCGTTTCAGTGACAGAACTGTCCTTCATCTGCTGCTCTGGAGAAGCGGCTCCGCGAGCAGCTAGAGTTGCCACTGGAGATCTGGGCTTGCTATGTGTGTAGCGTCAAGGTCAATCAATCAACTAACTTAGGCAGTTTACGTTTCTCTTGCTATTTCATTAGAACGAGCTTTATTCCCAGAGTCTGAAGTAATCACCACACTCTCCAGTGAGAGACAGAGGCTACTATAAACCTGGAATTTGATTTGTACAGCTGACTTGTAATGCAACTGATGATGATTAATGAGTTACTGCGTGCTATTTTGTGTTACTGAGATTTTTTTCCTTTCTCAGGCCCTGGAAAAACATTGTAGAGTAGAAGCTGGTTTTTCCGGCATCCGAGATGTTTACACCACAACCCCAACCCATGACAACATGCAACAGAGTTTTTTCCTCGCAGAGACTCTGAAGTAAGTCTGGTATCACAAAGGGCTTTCAGGGTAGCATCATTCCTGCAGCATCAACACTCTTGTCTGCTTAATAAGTCTCTAATAATAAGGGGGAAGTCTTACACTCTGTGTGGAAAACTGGGCAAGGCTCTGGGTGCTGTAAAGCTTTGGTAGCTTCCTCCTGTAGAGCCACTGCTGTCATCGACACTCTCAAGGGTTCTGCTCGTGTGCTGGATTTAAAGGACTCGTCCTGTGATCTAGAGCTGCTCGAAGTGGGAGGCTCTGACCGCTGAGCCCCTTTGAATTTAGCTCTGATGGTTTAAGAGACAGCCGCCTCCTCTGCCACGTTAATGTCCTGCACGCAGAGGAGGCACAACCAGGGCCTGAATTTGCTGCACCTTGGTGCAGATCTTCCTTTGCTGGTAGCATGAGCTAATGTTTGTGGGGTGGCTGAGCGCAGATGCCCGTCCCCTTTGGCCACCTTTGCACCAGGGCTGGTAGTTTCCCGCAGGAGAGTGAGGCAGAGAGTCAGGAAAAGTGTCACCATGAACTGTGGCAGCTGAGGCCAATGGCAGCCCCCGTCACAGTCCTGCTGACGCTGCTTGCTTGTGCGTGCTCGGAGTCCCACCCGAGTTCCCTTTAATCTGCCTTTGTGTCCATCTTCTTCCCACCCACCCTTGCCTTCTGGCTCCAGGTACCTCTATCTTCTGTTCTGTGAAGATGACGTGCTGTCCCTGGACGACTGGGTGTTCAACACAGAGGCTCACCCCCTGCCAGTCAACCACACGAACTTTAAAGCAAGTGTGCAGTAGCGAGGCCATTGCCCAGCGCCCGGGTTCTGCAGCGTCGGCGGGTTACTGCATTTCCTTTCCATTAAAGGAATTCGCGTTGTTCCTAAAATGGTATTTTGGGGCACTAGTCCAATTCCGGACAGTATTATATTGGGGAGATGAAACCGTGACACAAGCACCTTCTTTTCCTCTGTGAGGAGCTTTATTAGCCTGATAATGAGATGTTTATTCTGGGCCATATTGTACACAGTTCATAGACATTCCTTTATACAGAGAATTTATATGAAATCCACTGACTTTGCTTTATAGTGGCCAAAGGACTGGAATTTTGCCATAAAATAGACTACACACACACACATCCTCCGTTCGTTTTTCTGTTTCATTTTTGCCTTTGATATACGCTTGGGTTTATCACCTTTCTAACTGACGATTTTCAATATACTGTGCTTTCTAGGTGGTAGGCTTTCTAGGCTCTTTAGGAAAGACAGGATAGGAGAACGAGGAAGGGGAGCTGTCTTTTATGTGAGAGAGCAGCTGGAGTGCATGGAGGTCTGCCTGGGGATGGATGAGGAGCTGAGAGTTTACAGGTTAGGATTAAAGAGAGGACTGGTAGAGGTGACATTATAGTGGATGTCTGCTACAGGCCACCTGACCAGAAAGAAAAGTGGATCAGGCCCTCTACAGACAGGCAGGAGCAGCCTCAGGTTTGAATTTGCAGGCCCTGGTCCTCAGGGGGGACTTCAGCCACCGCAATATCTGCTGAAAGGACAACACAGCAGGATGTAAAGAATCCAGGAGTAGACTGATGGTAACTTCCTCCTCCGAGTGACAGAGGACCCAACGAAGAGAGGTGCTTTGCTGGACCTCATACTCACCAACAAGCAGGGGCTTATTGGGGATGTGAAGATCAAAGGCAGCTTTGGCTGCAGTGGCCATGAGATGGTGGAGTTCAGGATCCTGAGGAAGGAGGGTGAAAAGCAAGCTCACAACCCTGGACTTCAGGAGAGCAGACTTTGGTCTCTTCAAAGATCTGCTTGAAAGAGTCCTGTGGGATAAAACCCTGGAGGGAAGAGGGGCCTGAGAAAGCCAATTAATATTGAAGAATCACATCCTCCAAGCTCAAGAGAGTTACATTCCAATGAGCAGGAAGTCAGGTAAAAATGCCAGGAGGCCTGTGTGGATGAACAGAGAACTCCTAGCCAAACTCAGACACAAAAAGGAGAAGCATACAGAGGGTGGCAGCAAAGAGGGGTAACCTGGGAGGGCTGCAGAAACATTGTCTGAGCATCCAAGGCTAACGTTAGGAAAGCTGAAGCCCAAATGGAATTGAATTCAGCCAGGAATGTCAAAGACAACAAGAAGGGCTTCTATAAGAACATAGGCAACAAAAGGAAGACTAAGAAAATGTGGGCCCATTGCTCAACAAGACAGGGTACCTGGTTACACAGGTTGAAATACCAAATGTCACCTTTGCCTCAGTCTTCACCAACAAGACCAGCCTTCAGGAATTGCAGGTTCCACAGGCTAGGGGGAAAGGCTGGAACACGGAAGATGTACCCTTGGTGGAAGAAGATCAGGTCAGGGAATACTTAAGTAAACTGGACATACTGGTCATAAGTCCATGAGTCTTGAAGGGATGCACCCACAAGTGCTGAGGGAGCTGGCAGATGTCATTGCACCACCGCGCTTAATAATCTTTGATTGATCATGGCGACTGGGAGAAGCGCCCAAAGACTGGAGGAAAGCAGATGTCACTCCTGTCTTCAAGAAGGGCAAGAAGGAGGACCCAGGGAACTATAGGCTCATCAGCCTCACCTCAACCACTGGGAAGGTGATGGGGCTGCTAATCCTGAAAACCATTTCCAGGCACACAAACAACAAATAATTCTTCTGGAATAGCCAGCATGGCTTCACCGAGGGGGATGTCATGCTTAACCAATTTGATGAAGTTCTGTGATGAAATGACTGGCCTGGTAGATGAGAGGAGAGCAGCAGGTATTGTCTGCCTGGACTTCAGGAAGGACTTTGACACTGTCTCCCAGAATATCTTCATAGACAAACTGTTGATGTATGGGGTAGATGAGCAGACGGTGAGGTGGGTTGAAAACTGGCTGAATGTTTGGGCACAGACGTGACATGAAGTCTAGCTGGAAGCCAGTAACTAGCAGAGTACCCCAGGGCTCAACACTGGGTCCAGTCCTGTTTAACATCTTCATTAATGATCTGGATGATGGGGCAGAGTATACCCCCAGCAAGTTTGCTGATGATGCAAAACTAGGAGAGGTGGCTGATACACCAGAGGGTCGTGCTGCCATCCAGAGGGACCTCAACAGGCTGGATAAGTGGGCTGATAAGAACCTAATGAAGTTCAACAAGCAGAAGTGCAAAGTCCTGCACCTGGGAAGGAACAATTCCGTGCACCAGTGTATGCTGGGGCACCCAGGTGCACAGCAGCTTGGCAGAAGAGGACCTAGGGGTTCTGTGGACACCAGCTTGACCATGAGCCTGCAGTATGCTCTTGCAGCAAGGAAGGCTAATGGTATCCTGGGCTGCGTTAGACAAAGTTTTGCCAGCAGGGCAAGGGAGGTGATCCTTCTCCTCTACTCAGCACTGGTGAGGCCACACCTGGAGCACTGTGTCCAGTTCTGGGCTCCTCAGTAGAAGAGAGACATAGGCGTACTGGAGAGAGTCCAACAAAGGGCCACGAAGATCATTAAGGGACTGGAATATCTCTCCTGTGAGGAAAGGCGGAGAGCTGGGACTGGTTAGCCTGGAGAAGAGAAGGCTCAGGAGGGACCTTCTTACTGTATATAAATACCTGAAGGGAGGGTGCAGCGAGGACGGAGCCAGGCTCTTTCCAGGGGTGCCCAGTGGCAGGACCAGAGGCAGTGAGCATAGACTGAGATGCAGGAGGGTCCCTCTGAACATGAGGAAACACTTTTTTGCTCTGAGGGTGACTGAGCACTGCCACAAGTTGCCCAGGGAGGCTGTGGCCTCTCCATCCTTGGCGATATTAAAAAACCGCTTGGTCGCAGTCCTGGGCACCTGGCTCTGGGTGGCCCTGCTTGGGCAGCGGGGTTGGAGCAGATGACCTCCAGAGGTCCCTGCCAGCCGCAACCGTGCTGTGGTTCTGTGATCGTGGTGTCAAAATTGTAACTAAATCAAAACTTGTCTGCAAAATTCTTGATCCTAACGTATTTTTGTATACTTTTCCTGTGCTCTTAAAACACATTTACCACGCATCACATCTCATTTAACTTTTCTTTATCGTTTCTGTGTTTTTCTACTTTATTTGGAACTAAATGTTATGAATCACTTGTAATAATTTCACTGCTGTAATAGTCAAATCTGTGAAACAGAATAAAAGTCTTGTAAAATAAAAAGCATGTTTGGGTTGATCCTCTTTAAAGCCATCTGTCAAAGACCTGTTACGTCATGCTTGGAATAACTAGGTGACAATACTGGTTGATTTCAAGAATATTTCACAATAGATGCTGATTTCCGGAGTAATCCAGCCAGTGTATGGGCAGCAATTCCCATCTGCACCGGCTCGCTTAAATTGCTTGTTCACCATCTGATATGGGTTAGCAGGAGTTCTACTCAATGTCTTATTTTTCTAGCAAAAAATAAATAATCCCCAGCCAAGTTTGCTCTTTGGTGTACATTGTTTTGGGAACGAAGTAACAGAAGAAAAAGAAAGGAAAAAATTGAAGCCAGATTCCTCATCGCCCAGCCACTGAACGAGCAGTTTTGCCGGTGCGTCCTCTGGCTCTGAGCGGGATGACGGCCCAGCGATGCTCGCACACCGCTCCTGCTCCGACCCTGGCAGCCGCGAGTGCCTGCTGCACAGTTCTGGCAACAGG